GTCGGAGCGGCGGGGACTTACGACTACACCCTCCCTGCCTCCCTCCCGCCGTCGTCCTTGGACGTCACCCTGCTCAACATGCCATTCGAAGCGGCCCGATCTCGCAGCCAGACACAACCCCAGGATATGATCATCAGCCTTCCGGTAGGCGCCCGTCTGGGCAGTGCCTCCGCCATCCTCCGTATCCTCTCCCAGGCGTCCAGTAAGGCCGTGGTGGCCTTCTCTCTTGGTGTGGACGGCTCTGACGAGGTCCTACCCAGTCTGGGCACTTTGGCAGAATTGAATTTCCAAGCACCTCTTTCTCGCCGGCCCTGCCTTTTGGTTGGCACGGCCGCATTGCATCGGAAGCTTTCCAGCTACGCCACTTTCGCGGCCTTGGAGCACGGGACGCGGGGTTCTGACCTCTTAGCCCTTGCACCCGCTCCCTCGTCCTCCCTCCCGCTCTCCCTTGGGACCTTCCACTCTACCCCTTCCCTGACCGCCCACCTGGCCCGGCGACGCGCTTTCCTCAAGCGGGCCACCGTGGACTGGACGTCGACGGAAATGGCCGCGGAGGCCTTTCGCCTCCTCTGTGAGAGCGCCTTCCACCTGGGCTTCGTCCTTGCCTTCGCCGTCGTCATTGGGACGCCGGTCCACATTGTGTATGCCCCCGGCAACTACTGCAACTTCTACTGGTACGTTCCGGCCTCTCCCCATGTTCCAACTTTTGAAACATGGCTGGAGGGCTCTGTGGGAGGGATGATGATGATTCTTAATTGTACCCGCGTGCACCCTACATCTGTCTAGTGCTTGAGTGCTATCTTCCATGGGCCGTGGATGTGTGGTATACGGTGGCAGGCGTCTTTCTCGTTGCTGGATCCCGCCCTCCACGCTGGGCTCACCCTGCTTTTTCCCTTCCCCTTTTCCTTACGCTTTCCCTTCCCCTCGCTGCTCACGCAGGTCCAACCAGTGCACGAACGGCGTGGCAGAAGGGATGTACTTGTCGCGCGTGATCATGACCTGTATTTGTGCCATCTACACGACCGGTTACTTCGCGCGATTTTTGTTCGCTTTCCGACTGACGGAAGGCGGTTTGGTCCGTTCCATCATCTTGACATTCCTCCTCCTTTTCCTCCTACCTGTGACGGCTTTCGTGGAAGCGGGTCACTGCCTGTGGGCAGCGTTTGCTATGTTCAATCCAGGGGCGATCGGAGTGGAAAAACGGTCCACAACGCCCTCCTCTGTTGCCAAGCAAAACTCCATGGAAACATCCTTGTTCAGTCCTTCTGCACATGCATAAATAAAAAGGTTGTCGGTCGGGAAGTAGGCATCAAAAAGGCTGCTTTTGGGGGAAGGGGAACTTTGAGGCAGAGCTCACGTGCGTCAAAATCTCAGTAGCTCGTCAGCTACAGAGGCGCGAAGCATGGACGTGAACGGAAGCCTGATAGCGAACGATAAAGGTGGGAGACGAAAGAAAGCAAGAAGAAAAATTGCGGAAACATATTGTAGACAAGACACGAAGGCGGGAGTGGGGTCCAGGAGAGTGTCCTCCCATGAAACTGCAGTAGAAATTTCACAGAAGAGCGGGCCTGGGAAAGGGATATGATTGTAAGGGTGTCCACAAATTGCATTGTTTACCTGGCGATGGCAACGATTGTGAGGGTGTGTGAGAAGAGAGAAGCGTGATGATATGACGGTATGGGTTTGATGAAGAGCATTCGCACTGACACACAAAGGGTTGGAACCAGTCCTAGTCATGGTGGGCCAGAATTTAGAGATGCAAGTAAACGTGATCACGCTGAGGGGAAAAAGGCATGAATCACAAAGCTTTGAGGAAAAATATGGGATATCATTGTATTGTCACAATATGAATGGCACAAGTGTGAAGCAAATAGAGCGAAGATATAGAATGATAATGTAGTGGCGAGATTGAGCTACTATCTTATACCTGTAATCAAGCCCTAATTGACTTTTCGTGGACGAGATTTTTGCCTCTTTAAATCCCAAAAAAACAGAGCATGGGTTGGTCGCACATGAAAGCAATGTGGAGGGATGAAACAGGCCGCAGCATGTGTGACGCTCTACCTCGACACTAAAATCCTTACCCTTTTGACCTCTGACCCTTTTGATCCTTTGAGTTTTCCTTCTAGTTCTCTGTACTTACATTGACCGGTAAAACACTGCGATTGCCTGCCCTCATTACATACAGAGGCAGCGTCCCCACTAATCCTGCACAGAGCGGCCAAATTTTTCTCTCTTTAATCATTATATTGTCCGCTCCAGAGTCTAAACCCTGTATATTAAGGCCGCTGCGCCGAGTCCCTTTTTTGGTAAGACATTCTTGAGAGCTCTATTGGCACCATCAGCGCTCGACATGCTTCGGCCTTCAAAAGGTTCGGACTTCTTTGCCCACCTAATCCATGCGTTTTCTGATGTAGAAAACTACAAAGAAGTCACGGCCCCGATGTATGCGCCCAACTTGCTTCTCCTAGAAAGCAGAGCCCTATCCACTCGGGTAATAGCAAGGACTTTATCAGAGACCGGGTCCCTGTCCCTTCTCCCCAAAAGGATGCAGGTAAGCCCGTAAATCCGACGAAGGGGACAGCCAAAACAGCACCACACGGATCTCTCTTCCCTTCCCTCCCCCCTAGGCCAAATAACTCTCCAAACTCTCCCCACTCAAGTCTTCAATGTAGGCAATGGTAGTCTTACATTCCTCCACCACCTCCTCCCTCTCGTCCTCCAATAGTTCGCTCAAGTAGGCAATGCTCTCCGGCAGCATGGCCAGGTACTCCTCGCCCACTACGACGAAGGTCTCTCTCAGCGTCCGCAACGCCACCCAGCGGACCTCCCAGGCTCGTGCCCGAGTCTGCATGAGCACCTGATGGTGGTAAGGCTTCCACAACACGTCTTTCCCCGCCGCCAGGGCCATGTAAGCGAGGCAAGGGATGAGATTCGCCTCCGCCAGTGCCCGGTAAGTGGAATTAGCAGAGGGGGAGGAAGCAGGAGGGAGGAAGGAGTGGAGGCCCGTTATCAGTCCCGTGAGGAGGGGAAGAATGGCGTCAAAGCGCGTTTGCGTCAGGAAATTTCCGTCCTCCTCGCCCTCGTCGTCGCACTGAAAGCACTTGGTCAAAGCCGTCAAGATCAGGGTGATGAGGATCGGGCCTTGCTTCTCAGGCTCCAACCCGCCCTCCATCCTGTCCTCCCCGGTGGCTCCCTCCTCCTCCCGCCGACGTTTTTTCTCCTTCTTCTTCTCCTTGGAGACTTCCCCGTTGTGAACGGCAAGAATGCTGGAGGGCACAGAGGAGGAGGACGGGATGGAGAAAAGACGTAAGTCTGCTTGAATGTCGCTCCAGATGTAGCCAAAGTATGGCACAAAAATGCTCTGCAAGGAGGAAAGAAAAGAAAGGAGGGAAGGAAGGAATGAGGGAAGGAGAGAGGAACGGAGGAATGAAGATGAGAGGAAGAGTGAGGTAGGCTCCCATGTGTGCAGAATAGAAACCTTCTCTCTGTCTTTCGCGTCGCTCCCTCCTCTCCGCGAAATTAAGTCTCATTAAGACCGTCCAAGGCACGCGCACCCCTCCCGCCTATCTCCCTTCGACCCCACTGCATCTACCCCTGACCCCACTTCGATCACAGACTCCCATACAAGGATATCCACCCAGGCCACGCCCTTTTCGATCAACCGTAAATATAGGTGCCGCCCGCCCGGGGATCAAGGGCCATCTGGAAGAAGTCAAGCAGAAAAGAAGACATGACGGTGTTTACCGACCGCACTTCCTCCCGCCCTCCCTCTCCCACGGCAACCCAAACCCGCCACGGACACGCATCTTTTCCTTTTCTCTGCCTCGTCCGTGTTCAGTTCTCACTCCAAGCTCGACCAGGGAGGCACTGGACCGTATGGTACGAGGGGTTTCCTTTCTCCCCTGCTCCCTCCCTCCCTCCCTCCCTCCCTCCCTCCCGTCTTACCCGCAACGTCTCAACCAAATATCCCAGAAGCCGATAAAAGACCAAACGCCGGGATCGCTGCCCACCTTCTCTCCCCCCATCGCCACTTTTCTTCCAATGAGCCACGCGCAAGAAAAGGGCGCGAAGCTCCTCTTCGTTCAAACGCAAAACCAACGCCAGCATGCTCTCACACACGGCCTCCTCCACCTCCTCCACCTTTGCCCTATCTCCTCCCTCGCCTTCCAGCACGCCCTCTTCCCCCCGAGGACGCTTCCTCTTTCCTTCTTTCCCTCCCTCTGTCCACCCCACGTGGTTCCTATAGTCCATCGCCAGTAGGAAGAAGCCGGTCCACACGTTCACTCCGCCTTCCCCTTTCCCGTGTCCTCCCAAGAGAGACTCCCTTTGCTGCGTCTCGATGACACGTCGCACGACCCGAAACAAGCGAAGCATGGCCTCGGGGGACGGTGGGGGAGAAGGCGTGAGGGAGGACGGGTAAGCGGCGAATAGGATCGGGAGGAGAAGACGCGCCGGGAGGGCAGTCGCAATCAGGTCCAACACAGAAGACAAGGTGGAGGAAGGGAAGGTGGACGTGTGGAGCAGGCAGGTAAGGAGCCGGGGGAGGAAGGGGTTGAGGAAATTGGGCACTGCGGTCAGGAGGGAGGTGACACAGACCAAGGCGGCATCCGGCACCCGAGGCGAGGACGAGGGGGAGGGCGGGGGGGAGGACGAGGGGGAGGGCGAGTCCAGGCGGTCAAGGACCGTGGCGATGAAGGCAGGGAGCTTGGGTAGGACAGCGGTCCCCACCGCCTGACAGGTAGCGGCGGCGCACAGCAAAGCCGCGGTTATGACGTGCACCTGCGGGCAGGGCCCAGGTGCCTCCGAGTCCCCCCGTCCCTCCCTCCCTCCTTCCCTCCCTCCCTCCCACCAAGGCTTGCAGGCGGTCAAAAATCGGGAGGAATTTCTGCGGGTACCCTTTCCCCAGAGCCTCGACCAAGACAGCCATGCTTGCCCAGGCAGTCTGTTGTAACGCGGGGTCGCTCCTTCCTTTCTTCCCCCTCCCCTTCCCATCCTGTCCCCCTCCTTCCCCCTCGCCTTCCCCATCTCCCACCACCGAAAACATATCAGGAAGCATCTCCAAGATCAAGCGTTCCTCCCCCCGGGACCATTTTTTCCTCCGCCCCAATGCTTCCCCCCGCTCGGCCAAGGTGGTGTGGAAGAGGCGGAGGGCCCGGGCACGGACGCCGGCGTCCTCGTCCGCCAGCATCTCTTGGATCAAGGTCAGAAAAGACGGGAGGGAAAGCAAAGGCTGTGTCTCATCCAGGAGCCCCACTGCCACCTCCTCCACTGCCTCCCACACGTCCTGTTCCTGCCTATCCCTGCTCCTGGCCTTGCTCACCCGCAGCCTGCCAGTGTCGTCGGGGAGGACAACCCTGCCTGCCCGTGTACCCCGTTGCCGCAAGCCACTCTGAGCCAGGGTGTGGAGGAACCTTAAGGTTTCTTCCGCGAGCAAAAGATATCCCCGTTGGGCCGCGGGGGAGAGGTCACTTTCCCGACGCATAGCCACCCGCCGAGCCAGAGACTTTCGAGTCGTCTGCCCCAGCAAGAGCAAGATGCGGCCCACCCGTGCGACTTCTTCCTCCATCCCTGCCTTTTTCCCCCCCTCTCCCCCTTCCTCTCGGACTGATGTCGTGACGATGGTCCGCAGGGCGGGCTCGAGGTCGAGGGCAAGGGCAGGGCGGGAGGGAGGGAGGGAGGGAGGGAGGCTATCCTTCCCCGACAGGTCCCGCCGCGAGCGCAGGTGACAAACCCAAAAGTGGCTCTCCCGCCCCTCTTCCCCCGTGTCCTCCACCACTCCCTCCGTTGCCTCCTCCCCCTCGACGTCCTCTTGCCGGCCAAGAAGGTACCGAAGGAGGGCGTGGCCCATCTCGAGCAGGTCGCCGGCGCTGAACAACTCTTGCATCTCGGAGACCTTCCCCGCCAAGGCCTCCGTCAAACCCAGCAGGGCCTCCGTCCCGTCCTCCTCCTCGCCCTTGCCCGCCGTATTCGGGGCTGCACAGTGCTGGAGGAGAAGGAGGAATTGCAGGAACGCCAGACGGGAGTCACCCAGTGAGCGAAGGAGGGCGTGGTAGAGGGGCAGGCGGCGGGAAGGGAGGATCCGGTCGTGGGCAGAGGTTAAGGTATGAGCAATCGTGAAAAGATCGGACGACGTCGCAGGGGAGGAAGCTAGGGCCGCGGGCACCACGTGCTCCAAAACCCGGACAAGCAGGGAAAAAGACGGAGCCCTCTCCCAAGGGGCATCCGTTCCGATCCAATCAAACAAATACGCCAAGGCTTTGGCGCGGAGACGCGGAAAGCGACGGACCAAGAGTCCCAAAAGCTTTACGGCTGATCTGCGGACGTGTAGGCTGGCGGTGGCCTCGACCAGGCTCAGGAGAGGGGTTATTTCCAGGTCAGCCCCGCCCTCCCCCGCGCCCTCCCCTGCATCCTCCCCCCTGGCCTCCTCGTCGAGGATATCACAGGCAGTGTCCAAAGCTAGGAGCTGCCGAAACTCCACGTGAGCTTCCCCTTGCGAGGCAAATGAAGACAAGGAGGGAGAGGGGTCCCGAGTGTCGGAAACAGGGGAGGGAGGGAGCAGGCGGAGGAGAACCGGAATGAGCCGCGACCAGGTAGCTTCGCTATTCCGGGTAGCTTTAGCGGTGTCTAGCAGGGTCTCCGTGGATTGATGCAGGCCGTGCAGGTCGTTGACGCCCTTCCCGGGGTGGTGCGAGGCTTCCTCTTGACGACGGAACTCTTGCAAAAGCTCCAAGGCCACCAGCACCTGAGCCTGCCCTCCCTCCCTCCCGCCTTCCTTCCCCCCCGCCCTCGCCCCCTCCATACCCTCCGGCGATTTGGGATTCGTTTTTTTCCTGGGGGTACCCCGCTTCCCATTCTTGCCGTTGCTACCCCGCGAACCGTCGCCGGTAGGGCTACCCTCATGGCCGCCGACGTCCTTGCTACCGCCTGGGAGGGAGAACATGCCTTCAAAGACTTCCATGAACTCCTCCGCATCCAAGAGTCGGCAGGCCACTGTCCGAAGTACCTGTACAGATACTTCATCCTCCCCCCCCTCCCCCCCTCCTTCCCCTTCTTCCTCCGCCTCAACAAGGACTTGGAAGACGGACTCCCACCACCGCAGCCGTTCCTCCCCTGGCAAACAGTCTTTAGCCCATTCCGAAGACGCCTGCTCCAAGGTCAGAACGAGGCTGGGGCTCAAAGCCGGGCCGTGATCCAAGAGAGGGAGGAGGGAGGGAAGGAGGGTAAATCCCCTCTTGCGGCCTCGGAGCTCGTTGAAGAGGAGGGACCGCAGGAGGTCAACCACGCCCTGGGGGAGGCCTGGGGAGGGCAAGGTTGAGGGCAGGGGGGAGGAAGGGGCATGGAGCAATTGCTGCAGCACCAAACTCCGGGCGCGTTGCCTGACCTCGCTTTCTTCCACCCTGTCCTCTTCCTCCCCGCCCTGCTCGATCCGATCCACCAGGGTGCGGAGGGAGGGAAGGAGGGCCAGGGAGGGCACCCACGGCTCGCGGAAAAGCATGGTCATCAACACTTGCCCCACATGGCTGAAAGGCGTCTTTTCCCGTAGCAAGTGCGCCAAAAGCAGGCCTGAAAGCGGACTGGTCGAGGAGGAGGGTGGACAGGAGGTAGAGGGGGAGGTTGAGCCGGTCATCCCACTCTCTCGCAGGGCTTTTCGCAGCGCGGGCAGGGCATTGCGCGCATCCAGCAGGAAAAATGCCGCCTCCCTATTCAGTGCCGCCATGAACCTCTGCAAGCAAATCCTTTCCTCCTCCTCCACCGCAGCGGCCCACCACAGTCGCCCCTCTCCTTCCTCCCCCTCCACCCCGATTGCATCGGCGTCCTCCCTGCCCCCCCCTCGCGTATCCCCCTCCGAGGGCCTGTCCGTCGTAGACCCTGTCGACCTGCGTCTTGCGGGCCCCACCCTTTCCTCCCCAACCCCCATTGTCCCTCCTGCGGACGCCCGCCGCCGACGCCCCCCTGCTCCTCCCCCCCCTTCCTCTCTCCGACCCCCCAATGATTCCTTGCCTATTCCCCCCACCCTTCCCTTCCCACCGGTCTCCGCCCCGGCCTCTGGACCGTGCCCGTTCATCTTCCCCTGATGCGGTGACGCCGTGGTTTCTGTGTTGTGGAGTGGCACGTCGGGGCCCCGCGATTTTGCCGTGGCGTGGGTGGGCGTGGAGGCCTCCCCGCCCGTCTTCCTTCCCGCCCGTCCTCCGTCCCGGCTTGATCCCCCTGCCTGGCCTGCCGGCTCGTCGTGGACCGGGAAGAGAGAGTTGAGCAAGAGGAGTGCACCCTCCCGGACTTTCTTCTCCTGGTGGCAGCCCGCGACCAGGGCGGCCGGCCACAAGGAACGTACGGCGTCTTCAGGGGCCGGGGCCAGGCATGAAGGCCTTCCCTCCCGGTACGCCCCGTTCAGGGCAACCGCGATCGAGGCAGCGACGGACAGGGCTTGCACATGGGCCAGGGGGGAGGAAGGGAAGGAGGGAGGGAGGGAGGGCGCCGCAAAGACGCGAGCCAAAGCAAAGAGGGCGGAGGAGCCGTAGGAGTGGACGAGGTAGAGATGCAGTGCTTGGGATACCACATGACCTTCTTGTTGGACCCAAGTAGGCAGGGTGAGGAGGCGGACTAGGAGGGGATCGAGGGCGGGGAAAGGGTCGGGGATTGAGGGAGGCAGGGCGCGCAGGAGGGGAAGGAAGGGGTGGAGGAGGAGGGAGGGAGGGAGGGCAGTGGAGGGAGAAGCCTCCGACAGAACGTCCAGGTAAAGCGGAAGGAGCGCCTGGGCGAGCGTCGGAGGTGAGGAAGGGAAGGAGGAAGGGAAGGAGGAAGGGGGGGCCGGAGGGGGGAGGCAGAGGTCCTCCGGCGCCGGCCGGACCGTGACGGGGAACCCTCATCCTCCCCCTCGCCCTCCCTCACGTCCTCCCCCGGCACCTCCTCCACCATCTTCCCCAACCACTGAAGGGCATGGGCGAGCAGCACCACTTTTTCCTCTTCCTCCTCCTCCTCCTCCTTTTCCTCCTCCGTCGCCCTCTCTCCCTCCCTCTTCCCCGTCAGCAATCGCCGCATCGCGGCCACCACCGCCTCTACAGCCCCCCCCTCCCCCTCCCCCAGACCCAGGCCCGAGTCCTCTTTCCCCTTGGGGACACCATCCCCCTCCAAGCTCGTCTCGACACGAGCTACCAAAGCACACAAGGGGTGGGCAACCGGATGAAGGCCTCCCACGCCGTTCTCTGGACGCTTCCTCCCTCCCCCCCGTCCTCCCGCCCCTTCAACAGGCAGACAAGCGCAGGGATCAGGTCTTGCTCGATCGCCTTCCGCCCCCCCCGGAGACTTTCCTCCCTCCCGGCCTCGCCCCCGTCCTCCCACAGGACCGTCCATGTCTGCAGGCTCTCGAGCATCTTTACCAAGACTGCCTCCGACTCCTCCATCCCCTTCCTCCTTCCCGCCCATCCACCCTTCGTCTTTCCGCCCCTCCTTTCCCGCTCCCGGCCCCACCACCTTAAAGCCTGCGCCACGGCCCGTGATCCCTGCTTTGGATGGATTCGGACGGCCAGGGGGCGCCACACGTCCTCTGCCAACACCCTCAGCACCACCCGAGCGTCTGGGTCCCGCACACAGGCCAAGACTGCCGCCGTCTGACTCGCCCCGTCCTCCCCCGCTCCCTCTTTCCCTTCCTCTTTCCCCCCTCCTCCTCCTCCTCCTTCCAGAGGACCGCGATTTCCTCCAAGGCCTCGCGACGCTTCTGAGCTTCGGCCAGGTACAACCCTACCCACCGCGTCCTCCCCCCCGCCCTCCCCCCCGCCCTTCCCCCCGCCTTCCCCTGGCGTCCCTTCCTGCCCCTTCAAGAGAGTTACCACCTCCGCCCGCACGCCCTGGGCTTGCGCGAACGTCACCAACGTGGCAAAGACTTCCTT